TGAATGCTGCTGACTTTGAAGGTGCAAGCAGGGGCCGTGAGAAAGGAATGCAGTCAGACTCAAGAAGCCAGAAAATTAAGGGAACAGATTCTTCCCTGGAGTTTCCAGAAGGAACAAGCCCCGCCAACACCTTGCCTTTAGTCCAGTGAGATTATTATTGGACTTCTGACCTCCAAAAGACAATAAATTCTTGTCTTAAGCTACGAAGTGTGTGTGGGAAGTTCTCACAATAGCAATAGCAAACTAATACAGGTTTCGGTATTTGGAAGTATCCCTTTTTCTGTCTCCCTTTTTTCTTCAGTTACAAGACTGAGCTTGGGACATCAGCAGGGACAGAACTATTACTCTTGGCCAGTCTTGACCAGAATCTGCAAGCGGATGCCCCAAAAGAAGGGTGAGACAGGAAATAGGTGAGGCAAGTTCAGTCATCAGAACAAAGGTTTCCTGGCTCCAAACTGGCAATCCTGTTGCAATATTAAAAATAAGTAAATGGTTTGAAATTGGGTAGTGGGTACAGGCTGAAAGAACTTTGAGGAACACAATAGGAAAGGCTTAGATTGCCTTGTACAGATTGCTAGTAGAAATGTAGGTGTTAAAGACTGTGCTTACTGACCTCTTCAGAAGAAATTGAAGAGCATGGTAGAGAAAATCTTTATCATCTTAAAGAATAGCTTAGTCATTATAAACAAAATGTAGAAAATGGATGGTAAAACCACTGCCGGTGAGGGATCAGGAGGAAATGAGGAACATGTTCTCTGAAACCCAAGGAAAGGTTTTGTTATACAATGGTAGAAAGCTTGGACGACTCATGTCCTATGACTTACAGAAAACATAACTTGTGAGCAATGGAACTTGGCTATTTAGTTGAGGTTTCCAAGGTACTGAAGGTATGATGGTTTTTTTCCTGTTGCTTTCAGTAAAATGTGAAACAGGTAAGTTGAGAGAATTGTTACAAATAGGAACTAAAAATTGATGATTTGTGTAATTCTCAGTTTATCTAGGTTGCAAAAGATGCTAAAGGGATCCACTGTCAGGAAAGAATGCCGTAGAGAGAAAGCCAATAATGTGGCCAGCAACCTTAACATTTTTTTTTAAATTTTAAATTGTGATAAAACATACATCAAATGTTTTAATCTTAACCATTGTCAGTAAGTGTGGCTAGCCTTTGCTAATGCTTGGGAAGTACAAGAGGTTAGTGTTCAGTACACAGAGGGCTTTTTGAAGGGGTATGCCATCCATAGGTCCTCTCAGCCATTGAGTAGAAGCCCCTGAGATATTACTCAGGAAAGATGAGTAGCCTTTTCTAATGGAGTGAATCCCTGTGGCCCACAAAGTTTTTGAGAATGTTATACAAATAGTAACATTGTCAAGTTGGACTAGAGGGACTGAGGACATAGTGTAAAAAGACTGTCAGGCGGGTCCACTGCTCCAGAGTTGAGACACAGGTCCAGAGGGCAGAGGCTGGAACCATGAGTTATTCTCAGGCTTTGAAATTTAGTGGAGTTTGCCCAGGTGGACTTTGACAGTGACTGGTTGGTGCGTCCTTTGCCTTCCATCTTCTCCCTGTCCAAATGCGAACGGCTGTCAACTATTACCCCTCTGCCTGTCCCATCAGTTTTGTTTTTTGAACACAGAAATTGCTTTCAGGTTTCACAGGTCCACAGTAAAGGATTTGCCTCAGGATGGATTATATCCAGAACTGCTCCCATACCTAATTTAGATAGATTTGAGACTTTTGAGCTGATGAGGTTTAGATGAGACTTTGGACTTGACTTGATGCTGTAATAAGGTGAGACTTGTGGTGACCTTGGGATAGATGAATGTGTTTCTCATATGGGATGGATGAGTCTTTGGGGAGCAGGGGTTAGACTGTGATAGGATGAATAGTGGTCCCCACCCCTCCTAAATATGTCCCAGTTCTAATCCCTAGAACCTGTGAATACATTGCCTTACATGGTAGAAGGGATTTTGCAGAAATGACATATATGAGATTAAAATACAAGACTTCTGGGTAAGAGGAACAATTTATTACTCACAGCAAAGAAAAAAAAGACAAAGACCCCAAAACTGCCAGACCAGCACTGCGCATCAGTCCCCCAGGCTCCAATTCCCACGGCAGATGGGAATTGTTCTCATGGCAGGTGTTACACTGCATCATGCAGGAGGCTGTACCACAGGAGACTCAGGTTTTATGGAGCTGCGGGCACACCTTCCCATCCTCTCCTCCAGGTTCTAGTCATTACTCTGGAATGCAAACAAACATCTCTGGGGAGGGGAAGGAGAGGACTTTACCTTTACTTCTCTGGGATGTCGCTAGGGAAGGAGCTGTCTATCGCTTTAGTATCCTGGAATGTCCCCTTACACATTCTTAACTTGGAGGCAAATACCTCTCAGAGGATCCAGACTGTGTAGAAATGTGATAAATTTATAAAGAATTGTCTTTCAATGCTTTATTTCAAGCACAAAAAGGGAAAAATTTTAACTTTCAATATAACAGAAACATCTCAGAAATCAATTATCACAATAATGCTAGGTTGTGGGTGCATGTATTTCAAGATCTTGGAACAATATATTTCATAGCATTCTTTCTGGCATCTGCTGGATTTTTCTTTGTACAAAATTTCTTTGCCATTTCATTTTTCTAGTGATTCCTATGGAATAATAACTTTCATAGCATTCTTTCAATGGATGTTTTGAGACTTATCCTTATCTTCTTTCTTCCTTGTAGTTATTTCCCATTGTGGTAGGCTGAGTAATGGCCCCACAAAGATGTCCGTGTCCTAGTCCCCTGCAACCTGTGAATACATACATAGCTTACATAGTAAGAGGGACTTTGCAAATGTGATCAACGGTTTTAGGATGGAGAGATTATAGTGGATTGTCTGGATGGGTCCAATGTAACCATAAGGTTCCTTAAAAAAGGGAAAGAGGTGGGTCAGACACAGAGAAGGCAATGTGATGGAAGGTGGAAACAGAGATACTTCTAGGTGAATGCTGCTGACTTTGAAGGTGCAAGCAGGGGCCGTGAGAAAGGAATGCAGTCAGACTCAAGAAGCCAGAAAATTAAGGGAACAGATTCTTCCCTGGAGTTTCCAGAAGGAACAAGCCCCGCCAACACCTTGCCTTTAGTCCAGTGAGATTATTATTGGACTTCTGACCTCCAAAAGACAATAAATTCTTGTCTTAAGCTACGAAGTGTGTGTGGGAAGTTCTCACAATAGCAATAGCAAACTAATACAGGTTTCGGTATTTGGAAGTATCCCTTTTTCTGTCTCCCTTTTTTCTTCAGTTACAAGACTGAGCTTGGGACATCAGCAGGGACAGAACTATTACTCTTGGCCAGTCTTGACCAGAATCTGCAAGCGGATGCCCCAAAAGAAGGGTGAGACAGGAAATAGGTGAGGCAAGTTCAGTCATCAGAACAAAGGTTTCCTGGCTCCAAACTGGCAATCCTGTTGCAATATTAAAAATAAGTAAATGGTTTGAAATTGGGTAGTGGGTACAGGCTGAAAGAACTTTGAGGAACACAATAGGAAAGGCTTAGATTGCCTTGTACAGATTGCTAGTAGAAATGTAGGTGTTAAAGACTGTGCTTACTGACCTCTTCAGAAGAAATTGAAGAGCATGGTAGAGAAAATCTTTATCATCTTAAAGAATAGCTTAGTCATTATAAACAAAATGTAGAAAATGGATGGTAAAACCACTGCCGGTGAGGGATCAGGAGGAAATGAGGAACATGTTCTCTGAAACCCAAGGAAAGGTTTTGTTATACAATGGTAGAAAGCTTGGACGACTCATGTCCTATGACTTACAGAAAACATAACTTGTGAGCAATGGAACTTGGCTATTTAGTTGAGGTTTCCAAGGTACTGAAGGTATGATGGTTTTTTTCCTGTTGCTTTCAGTAAAATGTGAAACAGGTAAGTTGAGAGAATTGTTACAAATAGGAACTAAAAATTGATGATTTGTGTAATTCTCAGTTTATCTAGGTTGCAAAAGATGCTAAAGGGATCCACTGTCAGGAAAGAATGCCGTAGAGAGAAAGCCAATAATGTGGCCAGCAACCTTAACATTTTTTTTTAAATTTTAAATTGTGATAAAACATACATCAAATGTTTTAATCTTAACCATTGTCAGTAAGTGTGGCTAGCCTTTGCTAATGCTTGGGAAGTACAAGAGGTTAGTGTTCAGTACACAGAGGGCTTTTTGAAGGGGTATGCCATCCATAGGTCCTCTCAGCCATTGAGTAGAAGCCCCTGAGATATTACTCAGGAAAGATGAGTAGCCTTTTCTAATGGAGTGAATCCCTGTGGCCCACAAAGTTTTTGAGAATGTTATACAAATAGTAACATTGTCAAGTTGGACTAGAGGGACTGAGGACATAGTGTAAAAAGACTGTCAGGCGGGTCCACTGCTCCAGAGTTGAGACACAGGTCCAGAGGGCAGAGGCTGGAACCATGAGTTATTCTCAGGCTTTGAAATTTAGTGGAGTTTGCCCAGGTGGACTTTGACAGTGACTGGTTGGTGCGTCCTTTGCCTTCCATCTTCTCCCTGTCCAAATGCGAACGGCTGTCAACTATTACCCCTCTGCCTGTCCCATCAGTTTTGTTTTTTGAACACAGAAATTGCTTTCAGGTTTCACAGGTCCACAGTAAAGGATTTGCCTCAGGATGGATTATATCCAGAACTGCTCCCATACCTAATTTAGATAGATTTGAGACTTTTGAGCTGATGAGGTTTAGATGAGACTTTGGACTTGACTTGATGCTGTAATAAGGTGAGACTTGTGGTGACCTTGGGATAGATGAATGTGTTTCTCATATGGGATGGATGAGTCTTTGGGGAGCAGGGGTTAGACTGTGATAGGATGAATAGTGGTCCCCACCCCTCCTAAATATGTCCCAGTTCTAATCCCTAGAACCTGTGAATACATTGCCTTACATGGTAGAAGGGATTTTGCAGAAATGACATATATGAGATTAAAATACAAGACTTCTGGGTAAGAGGAACAATTTATTACTCACAGCAAAGAAAAAAAAGACAAAGACCCCAAAACTGCCAGACCAGCACTGCGCATCAGTCCCCCAGGCTCCAATTCCCACGGCAGATGGGAATTGTTCTCATGGCAGGTGTTACACTGCATCATGCAGGAGGCTGTACCACAGGAGACTCAGGTTTTATGGAGCTGCGGGCACACCTTCCCATCCTCTCCTCCAGGTTCTAGTCATTACTCTGGAATGCAAACAAACATCTCTGGGGAGGGGAAGGAGAGGACTTTACCTTTACTTCTCTGGGATGTCGCTAGGGAAGGAGCTGTCTATCGCTTTAGTATCCTGGAATGTCCCCTTACACATTCTTAACTTGGAGGCAAATACCTCTCAGAGGATCCAGACTGTGTAGAAATGTGATAAATTTATAAAGAATTGTCTTTCAATGCTTTATTTCAAGCACAAAAAGGGAAAAATTTTAACTTTCAATATAACAGAAACATCTCAGAAATCAATTATCACAATAATGCTAGGTTGTGGGAGCTGATGGAAAGGATTTGCTAGCCTTTATGATTTCAGAGGAAGACCATGTCAAAAGCAGCATCACCCAGTGGGGTCAGGGAACAGAGGTGGAAGTTGAAATCAGTTTGAGGAAGACATATCAAGCAATGTAAGTTTATCAACAGTGAGAGGAAACATCAATCAATGTCACTTTTGGATACTTATAGAGATGACCTAATCAACTCACATTCTAAGATATAAAAAAGGCAAAGAAATTTGCCACACATTTAGTAATTATTCCTGGGAAAATGACCTCGAGTTAGAGATGTTAGACATCATTGACTCATTTATTCATAAAATGTATACTAAATATCTGCTTTATGTATCATGCAAGATGCACAATCTTTACTCCTATGGAGCATTCATTCAGGGTGGCAGATTGACAGTACTAGTATTCAAATATATTACTAATTATATACTACAAAGAAGGAAAAAAAATAGAGGCTGTACCTAAACTTAAGGTAGTTAGGAAAGACCTCTTTAGGGATGTAACATTTAATTCAACCTATCCTGAAAATAGCAGAGTGAGTCTTTTAAAACCTAATTTGTTTCACTTCTCTCTTCCACATAATCCTTCAATTGCTGTTTCACTGACAAAAACCCAGAGGCCCTATAATGGTCTACAAAAGCCATTCATGATTTAGTCCCCAAATAGTCCTCTGACCTCCTTTCTTCTCTCTCTCATACTCATTTTCCTCTAATTATTATAAAGTTTACCTACTATGCTCACTGTCTCTCTCTCCCTGCCAGAACATAAGCTCCACTACAGAACGATCTTTGTTTCGTCTCCCAAATGTCTCTAGAATAGTTCCTGGCCTCTAACAAGAGGTTCATTAAATTTTTGCTCAATAAATATAAAATTACATTGGTTTTATTAATACTTAAATATAAGAAAAATAGTTATCACATACAATGTTGTATTAATACTTAAATATGACATATAAAAATATCAGAAAATGAGAAACACAGAAACAAAAAAAACAGGTAAGATTTGTTTAATGTGATGAGTGTGCTTGCCTGTTGGTAAGTTCATTCCAGTTTGGAACACAGGAGGATAAGGCTACCCGCATGTCTGCTGTGCCATTCAATCCATTTCTTCCCTTCGTTTTTAACTGCGGTAAGACTGAAAATCCTAGTTCACACAACGTAGTTGTTGTGAAAGGTAATAACAGCAGGACACTTTTTCTACTTAGCAAGGGAAAGTCTTCCTTTACCTTAATCCAAAAGGCTGATAAACTTAAGGTTTCATAATCATTCTTCAATGTATATGAAGAACTGAGCTGTATTCATTCATTCTCTTCTTCAGGCACTAAGTTAAACTCAATCATTGATTCTGGGTTTCTAAAAGCAAACGGATCTTTTACCCAACAGTTTTCTCTCAACGTTTCAAATTTCTCTTCTGGAAATAAATAGTTAAGAGTTCGAGATAGAGAAGTGAGATGCAACAGTATCTCTAATTTTACTTCTTTCAAAATGTTTTCATTAATGATATTCTCTTCAGTATGTTGCAAAAATCTTGGAAACATGTAATAGCTGGGATGATTGCTTTTAAGTCTTGTTTGCCACAGTAATAATGTCTTTTGGAATGCTTGGATACATTCGACCTGTTGGAATATATCACTGTTTTTCCTCTGTAGTTTTAAACTTATTTCATTAAGTATGCCAAAAATATCAGTTTAAATATGCCATTTTTGTTACCCAAATATCATCTCCAAAAATACTTGCCAAATCAGATTTTTTTTCAGTGAGAAAACTGTGAATCTCATTCCTGAGTTCATAAACCCTACCAAGTATTTTCCCTTGAGACAACCAACGAACTTTGGTATGATACAGTAAGTGGGTATGATTAGTTCCAATCTCTGAACAAAATGTTTCAAGAAGCCAGCTATTTAGTGAGCTTCCTTTAATAAAATTAACAACTTTCACTGCATGTTTCAATACTTCCATGAGATTCTGGGGAATTTCTCTGGATGCTAAAGCTTCATGCTGTATAAAACAATGATTCCAAAGAGCGCCATTATTAGTAACTTCAAGCAATTTTTCAATTACTCTGCTGTGTTTCCCAGTTATGTTTGCTGCTCCATCGCTTGTAATTCCTTTGCAGTTTTTCCAGTTTAATTTATATTGGCCAACAATGCACTTTTCTAATTCTGTAAAAATATCCAATCCACTTAGGTGTAAGATTAAATTTAAACAACACAAAAAATCCTCCACAAAATCATCTTGCCACACATACCTGACATAAACTAAAAGTGTCGCACAGCTTCCAGTATCGGTGCTTTCATCAAGCTGGATCGCAAAATCTATACCAGATTGTAATCGAGTAATAAGCGTTGTTTCTAAATGTTCTGCAATTGTACAAATTCGAAGAGATACTGTATAATCACTAGAAATAGTTTTTAATTTGTCAGCTGATTTATCATCGAAAATTGTACACACCATATCCAAACATGCTGGAAGAATGATTTTTTCAGCAGCTGTGTGAGCCATTTTCTCTTTGGCCACACGATACGCAACTAGATACGATGATAATAAGGCCTTTTCACTAACAGTTGTAGAACTAAGAAACTGTGTTGATAATTTTACAGTTTTTTTCTTCCTTTGAAAATATTCAAGAGGCTTATCAATAAGCTCAGCATGGTGAGTTTCTAAGTGCCTTTTTAATTTTGAAGGTTTTAAGCTTTCATTTGCAAGAATATTATTACAAATAACACACTGAGGTCTATCATTTTCAAAGGATTTTTCGCATTTGATAAAACCATATTTTAAATAATCTTCATTGTAACATCTTGCACTTACTTTTTTCTTTTTGAAATGTGGCTCAAATGAAGTTGAAGTTTGCAGATTAGAGTCGATATTTTTTTCAGTACTGTTGCTATTCATATTTTCAGATCCAATGGTTGAATTTGAACATGCTTCTGCATATTTCATTTCATTATTTCTCTTTAAAAAAGAAATGATCCATTTTAAAAGTAACTGATTAAAATGTTATACTTGCTAACTCAAAACACATGTGTATATATATAGCTTAGATAATATGTTGCAAAAAATGCAGTTTGCAATTCAATCTCAGTTGAACATCTGAATTCACATCTAGTTGCAAGTCATAGTAATACAAAATTAGACAGAACATTAACTTATTTTCATGAAAATTAAGACACCAGTGGACAAATGACTGAAAAACCATTTCTTAGCTAATAAATTCTATTCATCACATCCTCTCCATTAATTATCTTCTCACATATTGAAAGTGACTTTAGTATTCATTGCAACTTGGACAATTCTAGCAAAGGATTCGTGGAAGCACTCTGATATTTTATATTTTATTTTGTTTTTAAAAAATGTCCACCATGACTCACAGAATTAATTTCAGGACCTACTAATGGGTCAAACACATAATGTGAATAGCTCCGATACAGACATCTTCCTCTGTTGTGTTGGTAGCTTGAGTATGTCTCCTTGATGGTCAAAGAAACAAGCTGATCTGCTAGACTGTTTGCTGCAAGAGTAACTTTCCTGAAGTGGTAGGTGTATCTTAGATTTTCATTCTTGATACAATTTGATGGGAAAAATTTTTAAGAGTGCCAATTATGGTCTGATCCAGTGAGAGCCAATGAGGTTTTCCATGGCTAGGTCAACTCTCAGGTTGCAGCTGCTCACATACTTTAAAACTTTCTTAGAATGCATCCTTGACCTGGAAATAAGACCAAAGACATGACATTAAAGCATTATACAGAGTATTATTATTGCCAGCTATGGGGTCCTATGCCATATTCAAGATAATGGGTAAAGCAAAAAGCCTGTAGCTTCTTTCATTGCTATGTTAGATAGGCTTAGACCTATTTCTGTAAGGCATAGCACCTCAACCAGGATTGGTAAATAGAAAAAATGATGGCAGGAAAACCTGGGAGTCAGCATCATGAGTTGCAAAGCACACTGACAAAGCTGAAAACAGCAAGCCATGAGTATAGTTCATTAGCTCAGTATGGCCATGCCTACCTTAGAATTTACATACTCATTGTGCTGTTCTCTTTGATCTTAGTGTATTTGAGCCTCATCACCATAAAACAGTACTTCCTAACACATCTTTCCACCTTGTCCTTTTTGCAGGGGGTGAGTGTAAAGTAATACTTACTGTCGTGTTTATTAGAAATTCAACATATTAACAGCATTAATACTTTTGGTAGGATTGTTTGCACTAAGTATATTTTCTTATTTTCTGTATTCCTGATGCTCTGCATCTGGGTTTTCCCTGATCAGGAAGGGACTGACCCTTCCAGTGTCAGCTAATTCCGAGAGATGGCACACTCCACTGGTAGCAAACAGCTCAACCCAGGGGCATATCTTTTATATGCAAACTAACCAATCCAGACCCTACCCCACCTTAACCCCCATGATCAGGCTCTTACACACCACCAATCCGCCCCTGCCTTCATCACCCAGGGACAGATACCAAGCCTCCATACCCTAGGGCCTGCTGAAGCCAATCCTAAACTTACTCGGCTTGCTTGTCCTGCCTCGCCCTTTCCTTCTCTAGAAAACCACTGCACAGGCTTTCCTGCGGTTCCCCTTCCACTCCCTCTGCGTCCTGACCAATCCTGGGGCCTCCCCTTGTGGCCCCCTTGCATGGTGTTGCATGCTCTACCTCCCGTTTCTAGGGTTCCATGAGTATTAAAACTTCCTACATCATGACAATCATTTCTGTGTCTGTATTTCTCTTCAAGGGTATGCTTTAAATAATTTTAATATTGTTATGGCTCTCTGATTACAAAGGTTTACAGTTTGACCATAATCCTGTTTTCCTCATAAGCTGTGACTTTTTAGTAAAAATATACTGCATTCCATGAGTTCTTACAGGAAGTCACAGTATTAAAACTGAAACACCTGCAGTAAAAAAAACTTCTTTTTAACCTATTAGAGAATTTTTTTCTTTTTATATCAATATACAATTACACGAGCAACATTTTGGTTACTAGATTCCCCCCCTTATCAAGTCCCCACCACATACCCCATTAGTCACTGTCCATCAGTGTAGTAAGATGCTATAGAATCACTACTTGTCTTCTCTGTGCTAAACTACCTTCCCCGTGCCCCCACCCCAACTTTATGTGTGCTAATTGTAATGCCTCTTTTTTCCCTTATCCCTCTCTTCTCACCCATTCTCCCCAGTCCCTTTCCCTTTGGTAACTGTTAGTCCATTCTTGGGTTCTGTGAAACACCTGTATCTTGAGATTACTTTTATTACTTGGGGATTCTCCCCAATCACTTGAGAGGAAGATTGGAATCTCCCCCACCCCCAAATATACCAAATAACTTTTCATTCTAGTTATCATGTATCCTTCCCCCTATCGGTGAAATAAGAGTATAGTACCACATACCAGCAAGGGCTAGGTTTTAGGAATACAAGGCAGCCCTAAAAAATATGCTACAAATTATGAATGCCATTGATGTGCATCAGCCTGCTGCTACAGTATTTACATGGGAGCCTAACCTTTTAATAATAAAGCCAGCTGTGAAGGACTCATCATGAGATGGTTTTTAGATGGTGACCTTGAAACAAGAAAGATGTTGCCAGAAGGGAGGTGGTATAGTCTTGGTGACATTCCTCTGTGAGACTTCATTGTTACATCCACATGGGCTTTACTATTAACAATAGTAAACTTGAAGGAGAATTATACTCTATCATGTATAAATCATTCAAAAAACACTGTAGACTTTTTTTCTGAGCAATTTTAGGTTCACAGCAAAAGTGAGCAGAAGATAGAGAATTCTACATACTCCCTGACCCCATATACGCCTAGTCTTCCCCATTATGAACATCCCCCACCAAAGCAGTACGTTGGTTACAACTGATAAACCTACATTAACACCTCACAATCACCCCAAGTCCATAATTTACATTAAGGTTCACTCTTGGTGTTCTATTTCTATGGGTTCTAACAAATGTATGAATGTACCCATCACTGTGGTATTACACAGAAGATTCTCACCACCCTAAAAACCCTCTCTGCTCTGCCTTTTCATCCCCTCCCTGCCTCCCACCAACCCCTGGCAGCCACAATCTTTATTTCCTGTCTTCATTGTTTTGCCTTGTCCAGAATGCCACACAGTGGAACTACACAGTATGTAGCCTTTTCAGACTGGATTATTTCACTCAGTAACACACATTTAAAGTCCCTCTGAGTCTTTTCATGGCTTGATAGCTCATTTCTTCTTAGCACTGAACACTATTCCATTGTCTGGATGTAATACACTTATTTACAGGGAGCAGGATTAAGTTGTAACACATAGTATAGCAAAATATATCACCACGTCTCTAGCACTCTCTTTGTAGTTTTCTGTTTGGGAGGAGCTTGAAAATATCAACTTCGTTAGTTATCACAAATGCTTTAACTATGGCTAAGTAGCCAGAGATCTACTGCATATGGTACCTAGTTATACTTAAAAAGGTGCGCATTACTTCCATGAGATTCTGGGGAATTTCTCTGGATGCTAAAGCTTCATGCTGTATAAAACAATGATTCCAAAGAGCGCCATTATTAGTAACTTCAAGCAATTTTTCAATTACTCTGCTGTGTTTCCCAGTTATGTTTGCTGCTCCATCGCTTGTAATTCCTTTGCAGTTTTTCCAGTTTAATTTATATTGGCCAACAATGCACTTTTCTAATTCTGTAAAAATATCCAATCCACTTAGGTGTGAGATTAAATTTAAACAACACAAAAAATCCTCCACAAAATCATCTTGCCACACATACCTGACATAAACTAAAAGTGTCGCACAGCTTCCAGTATCGGTGCTTTCATCAAGCTGGATCGCAAAATCTATACCAGATTGTAATCGAGTAATAAGCGTTGTTTCTAAATGTTCTGCAATTGTACAAATTCGAAGAGATACTGTATAATCACTAGAAATAGTTTTTAATTTGTCAGCTGATTTATCATCGAAAATTGTACACACCATATCCAAACATGCTGGAAGAATGATTTTTTCAGCAGCTGTGTGAGCCATTTTCTCTTTGGCCACACGATACGCAACTAGATACGATGATAATAAGGCCTTTTCACTAACAGTTGTAGAACTAAGAAACTGTGTTGATAATTTTACAGTTTTTTTCTTCCTTTGAAAATATTCAAGAGGCTTATCAATAAGCTCAGCATGGTGAGTTTCTAAGTGCCTTTTTAATTTTGAAGGTTTTAAGCTTTCATTTGCAAGAATATTATTACAAATAACACACTGAGGTCTATCATTTTCAAAGGATTTTTCGCATTTGATAAAACCATATTTTAAATAATCTTCATTGTAACATCTTGCACTTACTTTTTTCTTTTTGAAATGTGGCTCAAATGAAGTTGAAGTTTGCAGATTAGAGTCGATATTTTTTTCAGTACTGTTGCTATTCATATTTTCAGATCCAATGGTTGAATTTGAACATGCTTCTGCATATTTCATTTCATTATTTCTCTTTAAAAAAGAAATGATCCATTTTAAAAGTAACTGATTAAAATGTTATACTTGCTAACTCAAAACACATGTGTATATATATAGCTTAGATAATATGTTGCAAAAAATGCAGTTTGCAATTCAATCTCAGTTGAACATCTGAATTCACATCTAGTTGCAAGTCATAGTAATACAAAATTAGACAGAACATTAACTTATTTTCATGAAAATTAAGACACCAGTGGACAAATGACTGAAAAACCATTTCTTAGCTAATAAATTCTATTCATCACATCCTCTCCATTAATTATCTTCTCACATATTGAAAGTGACTTTAGTATTCATTGCAACTTGGACAATTCTAGCAAAGGATTCGTGGAAGCACTCTGATATTTTATATTTTATTTTGTTTTTAAAAAATGTCCACCATGACTCACAGAATTAATTTCAGGACCTACTAATGGGTCAAACACATAATGTGAATAGCTCCGATACAGACATCTTCCTCTGTTGTGTTGGTAGCTTGAGTATGTCTCCTTGATGGTCAAAGAAACAAGCTGATCTGCTAGACTGTTTGCTGCAAGAGTAACTTTCCTGAAGTGGTAGGTGTATCTTAGATTTTCATTCTTGATACAATTTGATGGGAAAAATTTTTAAGAGTGCCAATTATGGTCTGATCCAGTGAGAGCCAATGAGGTTTTCCATGGCTAGGTCAACTCTCAGGTTGCAGCTGCTCACATACTTTAAAACTTTCTTAGAATGCATCCTTGACCTGGAAATAAGACCAAAGACATGACATTAAAGCATTATACAGAGTATTATTATTGCCAGCTATGGGGTCCTATGCCATATTCAAGATAATGGGTAAAGCAAAAAGCCTGTAGCTTCTTTCATTGCTATGTTAGATAGGCTTAGACCTATTTCTGTAAGGCATAGCACCTCAACCAGGATTGGTAAATAGAAAAAATGATGGCAGGAAAACCTGGGAGTCAGCATCATGAGTTGCAAAGCACACTGACAAAGCTGAAAACAGCAAGCCATGAGTATAGTTCATTAGCTCAGTATGGCCATGCCTACCTTAGAATTTACATACTCATTGTGCTGTTCTCTTTGATCTTAGTGTATTTGAGCCTCATCACCATAAAACAGTACTTCGTAACACATCTTTCCACCTTGTCCTTTTTGCAGGGGGTGAGTGTAAAGTAATACTTACTGTCGTGTTTATTAGAAATTCAACATATTAACAGCA